GTCAAAAAGCCAAAAAGTCCTTCCCAAACCAGGCTAAAATAGCCAAAAAGCCAAAAAACCAAAAAGGCAACCCACTTCCCAAACGGAGGCTTAGTAATAAAATTTTGATAATGTCACTAATAAATGTTGACAAAATAATTTTGTGCTAAAAAAGTTTACTTTTTTGAGACAAATTTTAGTCCCAAAAGGATAGTAATCTATTATTAAATATTCAATTTCATTGCTAAAAATATAACAATAATATTTTTGCCAACAAAAATAATTTATTCATAAAAAGTGATTTTATGTCTAATTTTTGTCTCTAAAAACTTAATTTATTATAATAAGCATCGATTCTTAGCATTTGATTGCAAATTATAGACTGTTTCTTGTAGACGTGAGCATGGTCCACTTTGGATTTGTAAAGTTTATCTTTTAATTGATTTATTTCTCCTATGTTTATATTCTCAATGGAACAATTTTTTATTGATGTAGGAAAGGGAGGAATCTCATCGCAAGTACTCATTGCCATCATTGTTCCAGTTGGAGCCTCTGTTTTGCTTTTCATCATAGGCTTTTGTTTCCTACGCAGGAAAGCAAAGACGAAACGTGATGATACTAAAGACGATAGTGGTAATAAAAAAAAATAATAAAAAAAAAAAGTATACACAATTCATGGCTGAAATGTTGACACTGTCATTCTTTAAAAATGAAAACGCTTTCACAAGCTTTTGCTTTAAAATGATCAGGAATAATACAATCAACTGCATGTCACTTTGTATTAATTTTTTTTATTCAAATTTTTGCTTATATAGCATTAATCCTCAATAAATTCATTACATTTATCTTTTGACTTGTCCAGCTCTGAATGAAATCCCAACAGTTGAGTCCTTGCAATATGATTTTGGTACTATTCAAGCAGCCACAAACAACTTCTCTGATGATAACAAAATCGGTGAAGGTGGATTTGGTCATGTCTACAAGGTAAGATGTTGCATTTAATTATATTGGATTTGATTTATTCAAAAAAATATATACATATAACATTTAATTCTAAAATTTCAATGAATGCCGTACATTCACAGGGTAAACTTATTAATGGAGAAGAGATAGCTGTCAAGAGGCTATCTCAAAACTCAGGGCAAGGTGGAGAAGAATTCAAGAATGAAGTTTTGCTGGTAGCCAAGCTTCAACATAGAAATCTAGTGAGACTACTAGGATTTTGCTTGGAAGGAGAAGAGAAGATACTCATTTATGAATTTATGCCCAACAAAAGCCTTGACCGCATTCTATTCGGTTTGGAAAATCTAAACAACTCTAGTTCTTAATAGTGCTTTACATTTGGTTTCATAAAAACACATGATTGTGATGAGTGTGATCTTTGATTGTATGCATTCTTGTGCTCGTGTTTTCATTCAAATTGTATGACATTAACACATTTTGTAACCAATTGCTTATTAATAACTTGAGCATTTATTATGATCAATCTACAGATTCCCAAGAGCACGGAAAATTGGATTGGCCAAAACGTTATAAGATTATTGAAGGGATAGCTCGAGGGATGCTCTATCTTCATGAAGATTCCCAACTTAGAATTATACACCGTGATCTCAAAGCTAGTAATATTTTGTTAGATGGGACCATGAATGCAAAAATTTCAGATTTCGGCATGGCGAGGATCTTCGGTGTGGATCAATCTCAAGGAAATACAAATAAAGTCGTCGGAACATTGTAAATTTTCTCTCCCCAAAAACCTCATATTTGTTTTACCATAATTTGATTTAGTTAGGCAATCTCAAGTAAAACATCAAACTAACTCTTCAAAAAACTCCCTTTTGGATTTGAACAAAAACAGAGATGCATACTATGTCTAGTTTCCTACACGTTCTTCAATGGACTGCACTTTTTTAGTTGAATATTGGCACATAATATCCTCGATTGTTTTATTTCTGATTTAATCCGAAATGAGTGTTAGATGGATTTGGTTGTTGCTTTCTAGTTATATTGATAAACTAATGGAGCTGGCTTACAGTGGTTACATGTCTCCGGAATATGCAATGCATGGACAGTTCTCCGTAAAGTCCGATGTTTATAGCTTTGGTGTCTTAGTTTTGGAGATCATAAGTGGCAAGAAAATCAATGACTTCGATCAATCAAGCAACGTTGAGGACCTGCTTACCTATGTGCGTAACAACAATACATTACAACTATTTCTTTCTTAGTGCCTATATCATCACATCCACAAGACATTTGTGATAAATTGTTTCAGGCTTGGAAGCTTTGGAAGAACGGAACACCGTTGAAATTGATGGATCCAACTTTGGAAGTATCGTATTCAAGAAATGAAGTCTCCAGATGCATCCATATCGGCTTGTTGTGTGTTCAAGAAGACCCAGACGCTAGGCCCTCCATGGCAACAGTAGTTTTGATGCTCAATAGTTACACTATTACCCTAGCAATTCCTGAAGAACCTGCATTCTTCTCTCCTAGTAAAACAGTGTTAAATAAAGGACAAGGTGTAGAGTCAGATCAATCTACAAGTAAGTCAATACCATTGTCTGTGAATGACGTAACAATTTCTGAATTAGACCCTAGATAATGTGAGAAGTCTATGACATATCAAGGTTGAAGGATAAATTTACAGTGTGAAATGAATATAAATAAACTGAAACACTATATTGGGTTAGTTATATTTTTAGTTCCAAAATATGAGTGTTATGCTGTGTCATTTTGATTCCTAATGTTTAAATTGTATTTCAATTTTGTTTTTAATATTTAAATTGTATCAATATGATTTACAATGTATAAAAAATGCTTCAATTTAGTTTATCAATAACTTGAATTGGCCTATATAGCCACTGAAGCACCACTTGAATATATATTCTTTTGTAACTGAATGTTGAGAAATTTACAATAGACTTCAGGGAAATTTTACAATAAATACATTGAAAAATGTGTGAGTGATAATATTTGTAATATTTGATTATAACTCATTATGATATTAATTATGACTTTATTATGACTCATTATGGTGCTAATTATAACCTATTATTTTGGTTATGACCATTGAATGACAAATATAATTTTGAAAATAGACCATTTATTTTTTAGTAGGCAAAATAATCTATGCACTCTTATCAAAATGATTAGAGAGTTGACGTTCAATTTAAATGATCTATTTCCTTTTCAATATATCATTTTGCACTTGAAAACTATCTAATTTCTTAACCGATGTTACTAATTAAACAAAATCGATACAATAAAAAATTAATAAAATCAAAATTATAATGACCAAATTAACACAAAAGAAAAATGACAAGCATCACGGGTATAAATTATACTTTGGCTTATTATCTCATATACCACAGTAGCTACACTGGCTTAATGAATCCCATTAATTATATCGATTTTTAATACAGTTTGTAATATATCAAAAATTGAACAACTGTTAGACATACTAACAAAAACCTTAAAATATATATATATATTTTTAAATTTGTCAATCAGGAAGAGAGTAATACAGATATTAAAAATATTATATCAAATTGAATAACTAAAGTCCAAACAATATTTTTTAGCTAAATTAAGAAAGAAATAAACAGTCCCCATATTGAAGGAGAAATAAACATTATAAAAGTATTAAATTTTTCTCCATAAAATTAAACTCCCAACCTCACACCACCAAATTATACTAAAATAATCACTCGGCCAAAGGCCTAATTAACATTTTTTTACTAATTAATGAGTGTGTAATAATAAAAGAGTAATGCTAGAGGTTCCAAATATTCTACCAAAAATTTTAGCAAATGTCTCACAAGGGTGTCCCATGTGAGACATTTGGTAAAACTTTTGGTAGAATATTTGGGGCCTCTAGCATTTTTGATAATAAAATTTTCAAACTTAAAACATACCCACTTTAATGATACGGTAAAAAAAATTATAAAACTTATTAATCTTATTTCAATAATATTTCCAAAAAAAAAAAAAAAAACAAAGTGCTCAACTTTTCTAAAAAATCAACTTTTAACTGAACATATTAAAAAAATAAAAAATTTAAAAATTGATCAGTAAAAGTCAATTGTTATTAAAAAATAAATTCAGTTATTTGTCATTATTTAAAAAAATTTAAAATCACATTAACTTCTTTACTTATAAAGAAATACTTTTTAAACAAATTTTTAAATAAATATTTTTAAAATTAAAAAATAAAAATTAAACCCAAAACACACTAAAAAAAATAGCATTATTTTATTTTTGGGTAAATTACACTTTGCACCCCTACACTTTGTACTAAATTTCACTTTGACCCTTACATATGAAATCATTAACCCCTTACACTTCTGGTCAAATCTCACTTTGGTCCCTATGCATAAAATTATGATAGTCAACCCTTTACTTTTGATCAAATCACACTTTAGTTTCTACACAAGTGTCAATGTTTCCTTTCTGTTACTTTATTGTTTAAATTTTTAATAAAATCCAATCATATGACTACGAAATGAAGTTAAAAGAAGAAAATATCATCCTCATTTTCTACCAATACATACTATGTCCTGAAATTTATATCAAATTACGACTGTATTAGGGTAAAACAAAATGCATATTGTGAATGATTAAGAAAATAAACAAGGTTTTGCATAAATTGAAATGACACTCTGTTTTCCACAATAACATAGTTTTATGTCTATTCTTCTTTTTCTCTTTGATTTTTATGCTGCCTTTTTGGGGGAAATTAGGAATACACCTCCTAAGATTTGCTTAAAGCACAAATTGCCCATGTGATTTGGAAAATTACAAATACTCCATTCTCAGAATTTTTTATTAAACAGAATTAACCAAAAAAAATGAAATTCATAATTGCTCTCTTATAAAATAATAAAATTACTTAAATTATTAATTGAAACTTATTTCTAATATCATTAAAGACTGTTAGTTGACTTGGTAATTTGTTAATAAAAGAGACGATTTGTTATGAACTTAGAAACCTTAGTGGGTAGAATGTAATTTCCAAAACTACAGGGGGCAATTCATATTTTAATCAAATCTCTGGGGGTGTATTTATAATTTATCCTTTTTATTTTAAAAGTTCTATTTTGCATTTTCATCCCAAATTTTAGCATACAAATATATAACTCTCACGTGTTTATCATATAAGATAAAGTGTGTATTGGTAGAAAATATGAATAAATTTTCTCTTTATCCTCATTTCGTAATAGGATTCTTATCACACAACTGTATTTTGTTAAAGATTTAAACAATAGCGTAATAGAAAATGGGACATTGATACTTATATAGAAACTAAAGTGGGATTTGACCAAAAGTATAAGGGATTGACTATTGCAATTTCATGTATAGGGACCAAAATAAGATTTGACTAAAAGTGCAGAGAGTTAACTGTTGTGATTTCATGTGTAGACCAAAATGAGATTTGTTGCAAAGTATAATGGTGCAAAATGTAATTTACCCTTTATTTTTCAAAAGGAAAAGAAAGAGGTTGAAAAGCAGTTGGAGTTTGAATCTGAGGCCTCGTTTGTTTATTGAACCAAGTTTTTTTTGAGTGAATAATATTGAACTAAGTTAGATGAGAGTATTATTACGGTGGTGTGATTGAGTGAGGAGTTACTAGTATAGTAGTATTAGATTGAAGATGTCATAAATTGTATTTATTTACGAACTAATGTAGTAAAATTAATTAGTTATGATTAAATTTATGAAGTTATATAAAAGCCCTCATTATATAGAAGGTGAATTTGTTATTTTTATAAAGGAAATGGTAGAATAGTCTTTTGAATTCCAATCCCGTGTGATTAAATTACAACACCCCCTCACTCATGTGATTACTAGTTCCCTCATTGGAGAGATTTCATAGTCCCATAACACGCCTAATCAAATTACAATTTTTCAAAACACATATGATTTTTATGGGTCTCACATTACTATTAATTCAATCCCATTCTTAGGGATGTAAACATGCCTAGCCAAGCCAATCTCTTTGGTGTTCAAGCCTGTTTATGAAAAATTAGTCGAACATAAATAATCAAGCTTGAGCTCAAGCTTGAAAAAAAAAATTAATTAATTAATTTACTTATTAAAATAAAAAATAAAAAACTATGAAGGGGAAACCTACTATCAGGGGGCTCTGTTGACAAGAGATTTGCGACACGCGCTGCTGAAGCATCTAACCCCTCCAAATCATCAGGAGCATCTTCCGAAATATCTCCTACATCAAACCCTGTTGTGATTCAAGTCAGCACTTCATCTTCTTTCATAGTCAAACAGCACACACACACAGGAATAAAAAATAAAAAACACCAACCAACCTTAACATTGAATTGTTGAGATGAATATTAGATACTACAACTGATAACATTTGGGAAATGACTGGATAACTATTAAATTTGAAAATAAAGCAGGCTTTCAAAGCTACAATATCTTACAAGCAGTGCAAGGAAATCCACCAAATATAGCAACTGGTCGAGTAGGAGCAGTTGGACAAATCCACTTAATCTGCATCGAAAGGTTTAAATAGAAAAAGACAAGATATAGTCACTAAAAAACCGTAATATATCAGAGAAAGACCCATGTTACTAGTTAAATGACTTAAAATATACACTAGTATCACTTACATTTGGAAGAGGAAGAGTTTCCAAGAGCTGGGACCAGCTGCAAGACAAAGCACCAAATGACTAAATCAACAATAGTCTATGTTGGGCACCAATCAAGTGGACATGAGGTGGTCGACTGACTAAAAATTGAGAAAAAAGGTTTTTTTCAAATTTTTTTTACTTTTTAGGTATATTTATGTTAGTTATGTCTAAAAATTAAAAAAAAATTGCTCAAAATACTAAAAAAATTCAGTAAAAATAAAAAAAATACAAAAAATAAGAAAGTATAATTTTTTGAAAAATGGTAACCAAGCATACATGGTTCAGTTTTCAATTTTTTAAAATAATTTTTAAAAAATTTAATTCGTACTTTCATATTTTTAATAATTTTTAAAATATTTTCATCAATTTTTTTTTAATCTTTAGATTAAAAAAGTACAAAAAGTAAAAAACAATTTTTAATCCTTAATCAATTTTAATATTTTCTATTCATTTAATCTTAATATACTAAAAAGTAAAAAATTTGTACAAAAATCTTTAAAATATTCGTTGAATACAACAAAATACGAAAATGTATTTAATTTTCTATTTTTTTTTGTATTTTTTTGTAGTTGTTGAATTTTTTTTCCACAAATATTTTATTTTTTAAGCGTATTTAGATTAGATGTATTTAAAAAAAAATTACGTAAAATATTAAAAAAATTACTAAAAGCAAAAAAAACAAATTTATAAAAAATAAAAACTCAATTTTTTAAAAAATAGTGTAAACCATACAAGGTGAACGTTTTTCATCTCCACACAATATAGATGGTCAATTTTTATAGGATAAATTACATTTGGAAGAGGATTTCTTCCGTCCAGATTTTAGATTAGATGGCACTATTTGGGTCTATGAGATCTATTACGGATTTTGTTTTGATGATCTAAATTATTCATTTTGTCAAGTATGTTGTGTATTTTATCTATATAGAAAATTAAGTCGACATGATAAATGTAACTTATTCAATTTGCTGCATTTTTAACAATTTTTTTTTTGTATTTTTAAAAATAAATCATAAATTTTATTTGTTAAAAATGCGATAAATTGAATAAGTTACAGTTATCAAATCGACCTAAATTTTTTTATAGATGAAATACAAAAAGTGTCTAACAAAATAAATAATTCAGATTATTGAAACGTAACCCATAATAGGTCCCACGTGGCCAAACCACAACCCCCCAGTCCATTTTCCTCCGTTACATTTAACTTTATTGTGGTTCACATAAAATAGAATAAGTTTCACAATTCTAATAAAGTTGTATTATTTTTTTAAAAATATGATTAAATATATTAGAATTAATATAAATGGTGTGAAAATATAAAAAATATATATATACATTTCAACATAAAATAGATGGCATATATATATGTATGTGTTTATATCTATTTTGACTAACGACTTATTGATAAAAATGAAGTTGCATGTTATATGAATTAAACTTTAAAAGAGTTCATTGTAATTACGAGACTTGCAGTATTTTTTTTTTTTTTTTCGAATTACACTAACGGTCCCTATAGTTTGGGACTTGTGTCACTTTGGTCCCTCACTTTTTAATTGTGACACATTTGACCCTGAATTTTGAATATTGTTCCAAACAAGGACAATTGAATATATCATTGGTTAAATTTTAGGGCAAAATCGTCAATTTGATAAAATATAAACTAATTTCACAAAAATAAATATCAAAAAAATATTTTTAAATTTTTAAAAATTATTTTTACCCATCAAAGATAAAATTATGTATAATTAATAAATCTTTTAGATATTTTTTTTTTTACCAAATTAATTTTTATTATGTGTTTAGATGATAATTATGTAATGGATGGTTGTTAGAATTTTAACGTGTAATCGATATATTTAATATATGAAATGTTTTTAGTTTTGGATTTTTTTTATTTAATAGATTGGTTTAATGATGATATCAAAATTGTCGCTATATTTGACTTTTAAAAAAAATAGAAACTAATTCAATGTCTAAAAGATTTATCAATTTTGCATAATTTTATCTTTAGTGTGTAGAAATAATTTTTAAAAATTCAAAAATATTTTTTTGAAATTTATTTTTGTCAAATTAGTTTATATTTTATCAAATTGACGATTTTGCTCTTGAAATTAAGCAATGACATCTTTAATTGTCTTTATTTAAAACAAGATTCATAATTCAAGGTCAAATGTATCACAATTGAAAAGTCAGGAATCAAAGTGACACAAGCTCCAAACTATAGGGACCATTAGTGTAATTCGCCCTTTTTTTTTTTTTTTTTTTCAAACCTTAGGAAAAATAATTTATTCCTAAAAAGTAATTTTGTGTCTATTTTTTTAACTCTAAAAACTTAATTTATTATAATAAGCATCGATTCTTAGCATTTGATTACAAATTCTAGACTGTTTCTCGTGGAGGTGAGCATGGTCCACTTCGGATTTGTAAAGTTTACACTCAAATTGATTCATTTCTCCTATGTCTATATTCTCAATGGAACAATTTTTATTGATGTAGGAAAGGGAGGAATCTCATCGCAAGTATTCATTGCCATCATTGTTCCAGTTGGAGCCTCTGTTTTGCTTTTCATCATAGGCTTTTGTTTCCTACGCAAGAAAGCAAAAGAGGAAACGTGATGATACTAAAGACGATAGTGGTAAAAAAAAAAAATGATACACAATTCATGACTGAAATGTTGACAGTGTCATTCTTTAAAAATGAAAACGCTTTCACAAGCTTTTGCTTTAAAATGATCAGGAATAATACAATCAACGCTTTCAAATTTTTGCTTATATAGCATTAATCATCAATAAATTCATTACATTTATCTTTTGACTTGTCCAGCTCTGAATGAAATCCCAACGGTTGAGTCCTTGACCGCTTTCTATTCGGTTTGGAAAATCTATACAACTCTAGTTCTTAATAATGCTTTACATTTGGTTTCATAAGAGCACATGATTGTGATGAGCGTGATATTGGATTGTATGCATTCTTGTGCTGGTGTTTCCATTCAAATTGTATGACATTAACACATTTTGTAACCAATTGCTTATTGATATATTGAACATTTATTGTGATCAATCTACAGATTCACAAGAGCACGGAAATTTGGATTGGCCAAAACGTCATAAGACTATTGAAGGGATAGCTCGAGGGATGCTCTATCTTCATGAAGATTCCGCTAGACATTTGTGATAAATTGTTTCAGGCTTGGAAACTTTGGAAGAACGGAACACCATTGAAATTGATGGATCCGACTTTGGAAGTATTGTATTCAAGAAATGAAGTCTCCAGATGCATCCATATTGGCTTGTTGTGTGTTCAAGAAGACCCTGATGCTAGGCCCTCCATGGCAGCAGTAGTTTTGATGCTCAACAGTTACACTATTACCCTAGCAATTCCTGAAGAACCTGCATTTTTTTCTCTTAGTAAAACAGAGTTAAATATAGGACAAGGTGTAGAGTCAGATCAATCTACAAGTAAGTCAATACCATTGTCTGTGAATGACGTAACAATTTCTGAATTAGACCCTAGATAATGTGAGAAGTCTATGACATATCAAGGTTGAAGGATAAATTTACAGTGTGAGATGAATAGAAATAAACTCAAGCACTGTAGTGGGTTAGTTATATTTTTAGTTCCAAAATATGAGTCTTATGCTGTGTCATTTTAATTTTTAATGTTTAAATTGTATTTCAACTTAGTTTTCAATATTTAAATTGTATCAATCTGATTTCCAATATATAAAAAAATGTTTCAATTTAGTTTCCCAATAACTTGAATTGCCTATATAGCCATTGAAGCACCACATAAATATATATTTTTTTGGTAACTGAATGTTGAGAAATATACAATAGAATTCAAGGAAATTCTATAATAAACATATTGAAAAAGGTGTGTATCATATGTCTCAATGATGATATTTGTGGCCTTTGGTTATGACTCATTACGATGCTAGTTCTGACTTCATTATGACTCATTATAATCTTAGTTATGATCTATTGTTGTTATTATTTAGGTTATGACTAAAGAGGTTTTGGTTATACCTCAAGTGATATTTTGGTTATGACCATTGAATGACAAATATAATTTTGAAAATAGTGTTGTAAAATTGTGTAACTAAATAACACAAATAGATACATAATTGACAATTGAAATTTCATAATAAGAAACATGCTAAAACAGATTCGCCGTAAACAAAGATACATAATAAAATAAAATAAAATAAAATGGCAAAAGAAAGCAAACCGAAACCTGCACTAGACAGTTTCTTTAAAACAGATTCGCCGCTTCACCGATTAGGGTGCTGGAGGTTGTTCGACGTTTGTCTCCCAAGATACGACGGTTGGACCAATTACAGCCAAACACCTACGGTGTAGCTTCGGCAAACAGAACTCATACAACACTCTCTCACAAGAAAGAATACAAAACTGGAGAAAACTAGAGAGCAAGAATAACGAGAATTTTTGGAGGTGGAAAACTGAAGGAGATGGGCCTCCTTTTATACACATGGAATAAGAGAGAAAGAGGCTCCTGCCATCAAGGCCCATCACAGATGTAGTATTAAACTCTGCAATACTGATGGATTTAATCCGTCATGAATATAGAGGAGTTACCAGCTTTTATACACATGCGTATTGTGTATATTCTTGCAGCTACACATCTAGCTTGGCCCAAAAAGATTAAGATGGGTGGGCCAAGAACCCAGCCCAACCTCACATTTAATCCAGTCCAACAAGTCTCAAGCCTCAAGCCCAAGATCCATGATCCACAACCCACGGATCACGGACCACGGACCCGCCTCGGCCCAATTTGGTCTGGGAAGGTGGGCGGTGCGCCGCACGCGCGCATTTGGCAATTTTTGCATAACCAACTTGGACCTTAGTCTTGGCCCAAGTTCATCCTTGAAGCATCCATAACTCCTTTCCTTCGAAAAATTTGGATGCCCCAAAGGGCTCACACCCTTAGGCAAAAAATGGGATTTAAATACCCATTAATGCTCTCATCTATAATCAATGTGGGATAGAAGGTTTCACATCTTTCTCAGCACCTCTTTCATAATGCCAACTTAATGAGTCGATTTCTAATTCAAATCTTAATAGTTTTTGGCCATTTTTTTTTGTAGTGTAAAGAT